AGGAAGGAAGGAAGGAAGGAAGGAAGGAAGGAAGGAAGGAAGGAAGGGCAATAGCTCTTAGATTTATATACTGCTTCACAGAGCTTTACAGCTTCTCTAAGCGCTTTACAGAGTCAGCCTATTTCCCCCAACAATCTGGGTGCTCATTTTACAGACCTCGGAAGGACGGAAGGCTGAGTCAACCTTGAGCCGGTCAGGATTGAACTGCTGAACTGCTGGCAGTCAGCAGTCAGCAGTCAGCAGAAGTAGCTTGCAGTACTGCATTCTAACCACTGCGCCACCTAAAACTTAATGGTTTAGGCTTATATTTCATTACATAACACAGGTAATCCTCAACTTACAACCACAACTGGGGCCAAAATTTATCTTGCTAAATGAGACATTTTAAAATAGGTTTTGCCCCATTTTTACAACCTTTCTCCCCGCAGTTGTTAAGTGAATCACTGCAGCTGACTAAGTTAATAACACAGGTTATTTAAGTGAATCCTGCTTCCCATTGGCTTTGCTTGTCCAAAGATCGCAAAAGGGGATCACATGACCCCAGCGCACTGCAACCGTCATAAATGTGAGTCAGCTGTCGAGCGTCCGAATTTTGATCACATGACCATGGGGAAGCAGCAATAGTCGTATGGGTGAAAAATGGTATTTTTTCAGGGCTGTTGTAACTTCAAATGGCCCAGTGGTGGGATTCAAAACTTTTTTACTACCGGTTCTGTGGGCGTGGCATGGCTTGCTGGGGATGGCTTGGTGGGCATGGCAGGGGAAGGATACTGCAAAATCCCATTCCCTCCCCACCCCACTAACCTGCTTTTCAGCTCCGTTCTCCTGTGCAGGGGAACAAAAGAAGACCCAGCCAATCAGCTGGGACTCAGTGGGAGGCAGAAAATAGATGGGGGCAGGGCCAGTCAGAGATGGTATTTGCCAGTTCTCTGAACTACTCAGAATTTCCACTACCGGTTCTCCAGAACTGCTCAGAACCGACTGAATATCACCTCTGGAACGGCCCCTAAATGAACTGTTGTAAGTACAGGCAGAACTACATGTGGCTCGAAGGACCTTTTCTGTCGGGCGGGAAAAGCAAAATAGGAAGAGGAAGATTATTTTTTCCAGATGCAATTGTTCTGTTCCTTTTGTAACCACATCATTTTGTTAGACGCATGCAACCTATAATTGCACTGACTAAATGACAAGACGTCACTCAAGGGTACTTTGAAATACCTCTGTTGCCAACACTAAGTGAACAATAGGTAAGAAACAGTTAAAATTGACAGTATTCATAGAAATGGTTCGGGTTTGTAACGGATTCGTATTTAAGAAAGCAGCAGCTTTACTAATTTATGGTTCTGGAGATTGTCAGCTTACTATGTTGATACTAGGAAGAGCAGCCTCCCAATAATTTTAGCAACGGAGGGACAGTTTATTCTTCATATATGCTCCAATCTGGCCTCATCAGCGACAGGTTTGCTAATTAGCCATTGATATTTTTTTGCAAAGCTGATGTTTATTTCACTGAGAAACCGAACAGAAGCTACCAAGCTGAGAAGGGTGAGATAACAGCTTCCAAATACCAGAGACCTATTCTGGGTTTCATCACAGATTGGGGATTTGTCTGGAAAAAAAACCAAAACTATTAGATGGTTTACATGCCAGCGATTAGAAGTGGAAATGGAACAGAAAAATGTGCCCCAAGGTTGTTTTGAAAAGGGGGTTGGAAGCCTCATAGGGCAACCTCATGTTTTGGCCTCACAGTTGCCGGCCTGTTCACTGCACAATGCAGGAGATAAACCTTTTGTCCGTCGATACTCAATCCAAACTCCACTTAATCTCTCAGCAGTGTCCCAACAGTAGGATCTTTTGCGGGGTTGCAGCATTACCATAAAAGCAATGAAACATGGGCTCTATTTGACACCCAGTCTATAAACCCTGGGAGGATAAAGAAAATGCGTATGAGATAAAATTCCTTCCTTCCTTCCTTCCTTCTTTCCTTCCTTCCTTCCTTCCTTCCTTCCTTCCTTCCTTCCTCTTTTATTGTTGCCCCATTTAACAACCTGCCTTGCCCCAGTTGTTAAGGGAATCATTGCAGGTGTTCAGTGAGTAACATGGTTATTAAATTAATCTGTCTTTCCTTCCTTCCTTCCTTCCTTCCTTCCTTCCTTCCTTCCTTCCTTCCTTCCTTCCCTCCCTCTTTCCTTCCCTCTGTCCTTCCCTTCCTCTTTTATTGTTGCCCCATTTAATAGCCTGCCTTGCCCCAGTTGTTAAGAGAATATTTGCAGATATTCTGTGAGTAATATGGTTGTTAATTGAATCTGTCTTTCCCTCCTTCCTTCCTTCCTCCTTCCTTCCTTCCTCCTTCCCTCCCTTCCTCCCTCCCTCCCTCCCTTCCTCTTTTATTTTTGCCCCCATTTAACAGCCTGCCTTGCTCCAGTTGTTAAGGGAATCATTGCAGGTGTTCAGTGAGTAACATGGTTGTTAAGTGAAACTGGCTTCCACCTTTGTCAGAAGGTTGCAAAAAGGGATCACATGAT